CTGGGAGCACTGGGAGGGACTGGGGGGGCTCCCAGGCGGCAGGGGGAGGGGACTAGGAGCACTGGGAGGACCTGGGGGGCTCCCAGGGGGGACTTGGAGGCAGCTGGGAGCACTGGGAGGCAACTGGGTGGAGCTGGGAGGGACTGGAGGTTATTGGGGAGCTCTATGGGGGGACTGCGAGACACTGGGAGTCAACTGCGGGGAGCTGGGAGTTACTGGGAGTGGTACTGGAGAGGGACTGGAGGTTATTTGGAGCACTGAGAGGGACTGGGGGGCTTTGAGGGAGGACTGGGAGGCAACTGGTGGGTGCTGGGAAGGACTGGGTGCTACTGATGGTGGTATTGGGAGGTACTGGAAGGAACTGGAGGTTAATGGGAGCCTTAAGTGGGACTGCGGGGCTCTGAGAAGGGACTGGGGGGGCAGGGGAAGACACTCAGAGTCAATGGGGAGCACTGGGAGGCAACTGGAGGATGCTGGGAGTTACTGGGAGTGGTATGGGAAAGGTGCTGGGAGGGACTGGGAACACTGAGAGGGACTGGGGGCTCTGAAGTGGGACTGGGAGACACTGGATGGCAACTGGTGGTGCTGGGGAGTCACTGGGAGGCAACTGGGGGGTGCTGGGAGTTACTGGGAGTGGTACTGGAAGGGACTGGAGGTTACTAAAAGCACTGGGAGGGACTGGGGGGCTCCCAGGGAGGACTGAGGGGGTGGGAGGAGGCAACTGGGAGCACTGGGAGGCAACTGGGGAGTGCTGGGAGTTACTGGGAGTGGTACTGGGAAGGGACTGGAGGTTACTGGGAGCATTGGGAGGGACTGGGGGGCTCTGAGGGGGGACTGGGAGGTGCTGGGAGTTACTGAGACAGGAACTGAGGAAGGGACTGGGATGGACTGGAGGTTACTGGGAGCATTGGGAGGGACTTCGGGGCTCCCACGGGGGACTGGGAGAAACTAGGAGGCAACTGGGAGGTGCTGGGGGGCACTGGGAGGCAAGTGGGGGGATGTGGGAGTTACTTGGAGTGGTACTGGGAATCAACTGGAGGTTACTGGGAGAGTTACTGGGAAGAACCGGAAGTCAACTGGTGGGTGCTGAAGGCAACTGGGAGGCAACTGGGAAGCACTGGAAGGTGCTGGGGAGGAACTGGGAGAAACTAGGAGGCAACTGAGAGACACTGGAGGTTACTGGGAGACAACTGGGGGGCAGTGGGGAGAAAATGGTAGCTACTGTGGGCAACTGGGAGATGCTGGAGGTTACTGGTGGGCACTGGAGAGTTACTAGGAGGTGCTAGGGAGTTGCTTAGGGGCAACTGGGGACACTGGTTGCTACTGGAAAAGGTAACTGAGAGGCCTTGGAGGTTACTGGGGGGGACTGGAGGGCTCTGAGGGGGGACTGGGGAGGGGTGGGGAAAGTTATTGGGAGCACTGGGAGGCAACTGGGGGCCCTGAGAGTTGCTGGGAGGCAACTGGGGGCTGCTGGAAATTACTGGGAAAGGTACTGGGACACTGGTATTACTGGGGTGGGGGATCAATGGGAGCTGCTGGTGGAGTCACTGAGGACTAAGGAGAGGCCCTGGGCTTACTGGGGGTTTACTGGGAGGGTCACTGGGAGCTACTGGTGAGCACTGGGGGTTACTGGTGAAACAAAGAATTAACACCGGGATTTGATCAGGGTTAAACGGCAAATCTCTATTGCCAGCACTGGGTCGCACTGGGGGTAAATCCTTCCATAAGTGCTCTGATGACCAATTGATTACAAAACTTTATATTCATCTTGTCTCAGAAATATTTTACATAAACACACCCATTGATCAGTGTTACAATTTACGGTGTTTTGCTGCCATCTACAATCCTTTTGCAAGAAATACAGTCCCTCTTATGGTCATTTGGTGGTCATTTTTCATAGTCTTCCTCACTTGGCACATGCTCAGGGTCTATTGTCTCATTTCCAAACCTCGAAACACATTCTTTGTTTTTGGATGGGTAGATTCACAGCCTTGGAGGCTGGTTTCTGACTGGTTACTCCTTTTAAATGATACAAAAATGTTATCTACATAATTTCTACTTACAAAATTGTATTTCTTATCTAAAGGTAATAAGGTTCTCAGGCAAGCAAAAATATTTATCAGCATTATTTTATCAGGCGAATTTCTCAGGCTAGCTAAGCTAAAATATTTTAAAGTGTTAACAGTTCCTTTCGTAGCAAAGCCTCTGCCCGCAGGGCACACACACCGGGCCCTGCCTGGGGCTGCCACGCAGGGAGCTGCTGCTGCCGTGGGGCAGCGGGGACGGAGCCTCGGCCGTGTGGCGCAGCAGGGTCAGGGGCCCAGGCAGCTGGCAGGCGGCAAGGCCTGAGCCCCGAGCCAGCAGCAGCACCGGGCCCTGCCCACGGTGCTCCCGCCCGAGGCTGGGCCCTGCAGGCAGGGGCAGAACCCCCTCCCTGGGGCGGCCTTGCTG